CCGATGGCTCGTCTCTGTGTGTTTATCCGGTTGAGGACCGAAGACTCGGAAGTGAGTATGACTCTGGTAGCATGCTCCCTTATAGGAGGAGAGGGTACCGGCGTGCAGCCGGCAGAAGGTCGGCGTGCGGCCAGTTCAGAGACTAGTCTGCTTTAATCCTCTGCATGAATAGACTAGGTTTTTAAACAGGGTTAGGACTGTCTCTATAGAGAGGGACAGTCCCTGGCACCCACAGGGACATCCTCCTGGAGAAAACTGTATACCTCCAAGATGGAGCTGCCAACCAACTCCATTACCAAGCATTGTTTAGAATTACAATCAGGGCTTTCTAATGCAGCCATGGTGGGTGGTGGGTGTAAGTCTAAGAAGTGGAAAGCCAGGGATAGCCAGGGATGCCATCCTGCTCTTGTCCCCTTGGAGAGGTGCTGCTGAATTCACAAACATGGCCCTCTAGCTAGGCCCCTGCCCCCTGCTCATTCAGTGCTGTGTTTTCCTGGGATCCCCACTTCTTCAGGCTCCTGCTGACCCTTGAGGAAGTTTTTTCAATTAGCAGCTGACACCAAACCAACCAAAGTGACATTACTTGGCCAAACTTGTTCTACTTCCTTTCATCTCTGAGTGCCTGACCCCTACTTACAGGATTGAGTTGTCACATCTGGCACAGTGGAGAGATTCGGGTGGACAGATTAAAAAAAAGGAGGTGTCCATTGTAAATAATTTCTGAGGCTAACTAGATGGGTGAAGTCAAAGATGCACAGCGATGTCCCTCCTAAGGTACCTTCCTTTCATGCTGTCTTATAAGTTAGGTGCTGGCTTATAAATTAGAGGCATCCACTCATTTGTGCATTGTCTTTTGATTAAAATGGGTCAGAAAATTTCTATTCTGAGTAAGGGTGGAGTCAATTTATTGCGATGTTCATGTCTTAGAAGCAAAAATCAAAATGGCAAAGAGTCAGACATTCATGTGGTGTCTCTTGCCAGTAGGACACAATGCCTCCTTGTACTTCCTGTAGTTTGAAGGTCCAGATGTTCATGTTTGCAATACCTGGAGAGAGTTGTGGCAGGGAAATGATGAGACCCTTACCCATTGAACCTTCTGTCCCTTTCAACAATCCTGGGTCTCCCAACATTGTCACCTAGGAAGAGATAAAAAAAAGAAAGAATAAGACATGACCATTATATGTAATCACCTCTAAGGCACTGACCCAGAGTGGGGAAGGATATTAAACATTATCTGGTCCATTCTCCTCATCAGACAGGTAAGAGAATTGAGCCTCAGAGCTCTTTATCCATCATACCACCTACAGGTGTATACACTATATAGTGATATACTAAAAAAGGTCAAAGACTTGTAGTCTGAAGTCTTGGTTTTGGTGCCAATATTTTCTAGCTAGGTGATCTCAGCTGAGTGAGGAGTACTCCTTTCAATCTATAAAATATGGTTATGTAATAATCCTTTTTCATAATTTGCATTACCGTGACTTCATAATAGCCCTTGCTGACTGGCAGGAAAAGTTTTTTAGGGTATCAGCACTGATATTGTATATATTTTGTATATACTAGTTTGTGATATAGATGTTGTCTCTACAGTATGGAAGGTCCTTAAAAGCAGGAACTATTTTTAAAAAAATACCATCTATGTTTCCCCCTATATTGCTTTCCCTCCCAGAGAGGGAATGACATCAGCAAAATCAATTAATCAGTGCATTCAAAAAAGTTCACGCTCTGCAGAGAAGTGAGATGAGGTGTTTTCTCATATCTAGGAAGAAAATTCTTAGAGAGCAAATTTGTGAGCCATACTGACAGCTTTAGAACAGACTCAATGACTCCTGTAAGGTGCTGAGTGTGCACATGGTGGAAGATTTCTTTCTATCCCCAGGAACTAAGAATCATAATGGGAAATAGAAGAAAATCCCAGGGAAGGGGCCCCAGAGCATCAGTGTCAGACTCAAATAGAAATGCATCCATGTGAGCTGCATATTGACTTAGAAAACCACAAATGAACATTATGTGGGATTGTATTTTCACTTATTGTGCCCCATTAGTTTGACATCTGTACTGCAGAAGGTTTTTGGATTTGGTTAATGCTTCCAAGGTGGAAGAACTCTTTCCATAACCCCGTGCAGAACGAAGGATTTCTTACCATTGTCTTTTCTGTTAGCACAGGAGAGGTCAGCTCTAGCATTCCGTCCTGTGGCCATGAGTTGAAGAAGGCATACACAGCAGATTCCTTTGTGTTATAACTTCAGAAGACAGTTACCACAGACTTATGCAAATGGAATGAAATTTCCATGAAGCATTTATCCCATCAGAGTCTGTTCCCGTGGATGAGTCCATTATTCGGACTTAGTTCCTGTCATGCACCTAGAATCTGGGAAATCCCTTTGAATTTAGGAGCTAGTATTATTCTCTTTCTGTTTTCCTTTCCAAACAGGGCCCTTCCTTCTCAATCAACTTACCTGATATTTTACTAAGACAATATAATGTAAACATTCAGCAAGTATTTCTTGTCACTTAATGGACAGAACATCTTGGGATCTGAGAGAGAGGGAGAGAGAGAGAGAGAGAGAGAGAGAGAGAGAGAGAGAGAGAGAGAGCTGGACATGAATCTCAGAGGCATTTTACAGATAAGAAAAGGGGGGACCAGGGGGTTGGGATTTGCCCAAGGTCACCTGGGTCATAAGTTTCAGATGGGATCTCAACCCGGAGGTGTTTTGACTCCATAGCCAGTGCTCTGTCCCCTCTTCCACAGCAATGAATAGGGGCACTATTTCACCAAATAATCCAATCATTTGAGAGGGAAAAAAGCCTCCAGAAACCATGGCACAAGATCCATTTGGAAAAAAATTTGTAGATTGAGAATATTAAATAGGTGTGAAATGGAAAGGAGGAAAAAGACTTGGAGTCAGAAGATGTGGGTTCAAGCCCCAGCTCTACCATTTCCAGGATGACCTTTACTCCTTTGAGCCTCAGTTTTTTCATTTGAAAAGTGGGGATGATTCTATTTTTTTTTTACTACCCATTGTGCAGAAGGACAAGATATCTAAAGCACAGCGTAAATATCAAAGATCATTGTCATCTGTCTAACTCTACTCCTCCCTCATTCTCCATGGCCTTTGACTTGAACACCTTTCTACTCACGGGAAAAGAGCAGCTGAAAGCAAACAGAGTTCTGGACCAAGGGTAAAAAGCATGGGCATCTTATCTAGTTGAGTGGCCTCAGAAAGGAAATGAAAAGGTCCACCCTGAGGACCAACGGCAACCTCAGAGAGGGCTGAGAAATGCTCTGTAGAGACCATCAAGGGTTCATAATTTCCCTCTGAGACAAAGACCTGACAATGCTCTCCAATGGTTTAATGTGACTGGAAGCTATGGATGTCATGGGGTTATTAGACTGGGGACCCGGGAGATTGTTTAATCCATCTCTTCTTCTCTTTTGAAATAGAGTTTTTATAGAGTCAATGGCAAAGCTGAGCTTCAAAAACCCAGATCTCTTGATTTCCAGTGTGGTGTACTCTCCCCCATATCATCCTGACTTTGAGCTATTCCCCACCCCCACTCCCCATTATCTCTAAGACTAGAGCCCCTAGCTAGGGTTGTCACACACTTAGAACAAATTCTATCAAGGTTTGCATTAGAGCAGGGGCTCTGAACCTGAGGTTCATGTACCCCTATAGATTGATTGTAAGTTATGTATAAACTTGGATAGGAAAAAGTGCGTGCTTATTATGATATAATTGGTTTCCTATGTAATCTTTGGTGTTTTATTTCATGCATTTAAAACCATTATTCTTAGAAGAGGTCCACAGGCTTCACTGGATGGCCAAAGGTGCCTGTGGCACAAAAAAAAAAAAGGCTAAGAATCCCTGAGTCAGACCAAGATGTCAGGATTTGCTAAATCCTTTTAAGTCTATGAACAGAAGAGTTCAGCCTTAGAAAAATCAGGAAGTCACTGAAGATTGCTGGGCTTTGCAGGGAAGGGATGGCGGGGAGGCTCTGCTGGACATGAGGTATAGTAAGCAATGTCCGGATATAAAGAGGATCCTTACCTGGTATGGAAGAAAGGACTTTGTAACCCCCAGATACATAGGGAGGCAACTTACAGTGGTGGCAATGTTCTCCATTTGCACCCTCCATGGCTTAGTAGCAAAGATTCCTTCCCCATTGATGCTCAGCCAGTTCCCCACACAACGAAGCCTTTCCTGGAAGATGGGGGCAATCATCCCATCTTTTGTCAGTCCAACATTGAGCAGATAGTTGCCTCCAAAGGACACAACTTCAATTAGTTCCTGGAAAGAAGAAAGAAAGAAACAGTGAAGTGCCCTCACCTATGAATAGTGGTATTGGATACACTGCTTAGAAATTCACAAACGTTGTAAAAACAGCAAGCAACCTTGGGCACATTCTCTGTTTCTTAGGCTCTTAGAAGTCATGGAGGTTAGGGGGCAGCTAGGTGGCGCAATGGATTCAGGAGGACCTGAGTTCAAATTCGGCCTCAGACACATAACACTTACTAGCTGTGTGACCCTGGGCAAGTCACTTAACCCCATTGCCTAGCCAAAAAAAAAAAAAAGTCATGGAGGTCAGAATCATATAGCAAAGAGTATCCTTAGAGCCTAGACTATCACCTCTAAAAGGATCCCCAGGACCTAGAATATCAGATCTAGAAGGGTCCTTAGAACGTAGAACTTTAGACTTCAAGCAAACTGATTAAATATTTTGAAAAACTTCTACTATATGCAAAGTGCTGTGAAAGGTACTGGAAATATAGGCAAGGAAAAAGAATGAAACAATTCTGACTCAAAATGAGTTTCCTTTATAATGGGGAGGAAATGAAGTACATTGGTGTGTCTGTGTGTGAGACAAATCCAAAATGAACAAATACTAAGATATATACGGTAGTTTGGAAGGGAGGGCACAGGGGTCAGGAAAGGCTCCATGGAGAAGACGGTGTCAGAACTGGAAAGAAGACTCTCAGAACCCAAAATATCAGAGTAGGAAGAGTCCTCATAACCAGAATTTCAGAGTTGGGAAGACTCTTGGAACAAAGAACATTAGAGCAGAAGAGTCCTTAGAACTTTTAGAAGACTCTTTCCACACAGAATGTCAGGGCTGGAAGATACCTCAGAGATAAACTAGTCCTTATCGTACAGATGAGAAAGCACATCCTGGGAAGAGATCATGTAACTAAGACCAGAACCTCATTCTCCTGATTCCCACTGTCTTCCCACTATCTCCCACACTGTCTCCTTTTCTCCACCCTGGTTCAGGAGACCAACACCAAAGTAGATCTGACCAAAATGACTTCTACAAAAGTCATGACTTCACTGATGTTCATATTTCTTTGGTATGCCCAGGCGTCGTTATCAAGCCTGGTGCACATCTCCCCCTTGTGTTTTGGAACATTCTTTGGCTTGTAGTGGTCTCGACAGGTGAGGTAACCCCCATGTTTACAAGGATTGTCCTTGCCCCATCGATCATTAAGCACAATTTGATCCTAGAGGATGAAGAATGGAAGAGCTGAGTCACCATGGATGGAGCCTCATGGATTCCTGTGGTATAGAATCTAGCTGTAAAAGCAAATCTACTGGGTCTTCTTAGCTGACTTTGCAATTCAAGAATGTATTCTGCTAAGTAAAGCAAAACAAGCCCTATTCCTTCCCTGGTCCTCACATGACAAGGATGCACAGCCCTTCACCATCTTAGCTATGTTCCTATTCCTACAATCCTTGTCCTTCTTAAGTACGGCACCCAGAAGTGAACATGATCTCTAGGGGAGGACCATACAGCAGACTATCACCTCCCTATTCCTGGAAGCTCAGGACCTCTTAATACAGCCCAACATCCTATTTTTGGTTTTTTTTTGTTTTTTTTTTTCAGTGAGGCAGTTGGGGTTAAATGACTTGCCCAAAGTCACAGAGCTAGGAAGTATTATGTGTCTGAAGTCGGATTTGTACTCAGGTTCTCCTGACTCCAGGGCCAGTGCTCTATCCACTGTGCCATCTAGCTGCTCCCTATCCTATTGGTTTTTGATTTTTTTTCCTGCTCTCATATCACATTGCTGCGTTGTGTGAAGCCTACAGTCCACTGAAGTCCCCAGGTCCTTTTCAGAATGGTTGTTGTGATCCCTCCTGTCCTCTACCCCCCCATCTTACACTTGTGAAGGTGACATTTTGTACCCACGTGAAGACTTAATATTCATCTTTATTCATTTCATCTTGTGAGATTCAGCCCAATGCTCTAGTCCTATCAAGACTCTTTTGGATCTGGTCATCCAGTGTGTTAGCTATTCTTCCCTACTTTCTCCTAGAACTGTTGGGACCCATCCTATGCATGGATCACATGCACTATATTGTATCATAGTTGTGTGCATGAGATTTATTAACCCTACTAGACTATAAGTTCCATGAAGGCAGATAATGCGCCTTATCAGTGCAGTATTGATCAATCCAGCTGCAGGCAGCTAGGTGGTGCAGTGGATAGAGCTCTGGGCCTGGAGTTCAGAAGACCTGAGTTCAAATCTAGCCTTAGACACTTACTAGCTGTGTAACCCTGAGCAAGTCACTTAACCCTGTTTGCCTCAGTTTGCTCATTTGTCAAATGAGCTGGAGAAGGAAATGGCAAACCACTCCATTATCTTTGCCAAGAAAACCCCAAAAGGGATCACAAAAAGTTGGACAAGACTGAACAACAACAACACAAAAGGCATTGAATAAAACATCACTAGTTGAAAAGAAATGAAATTTATATTACTAATCCTTGGAACATTCAGTGATTCTGTCCCAGACCTAAAGGCCTGTTCTGGATGTCACTCAAGACTCCATGCAAGAGAATAATTCTTTTCAACATCTGCCAGGAACAATGTGAATGTACAGGAACTTTAATTTCTTATTCTTGCCCCAGACCCACAAAACATCCCCACAGCAGCATGCTGCATTCTGCATTTTGGAAAGCTTCCTTATCTCCCCATCCAGAATTCTCTTCTTGCCTGACCACTCACAGAGGGGAAGGAAGGATACAGTTGGTTCCAGGCCCTGGCTCACTCCACCTTCTACAGTCACAAGCAGTCCTTCAGTCACCTACCTTTACAGGGCTGTCATTGTACAGCCAGGCAAGGAACTTGGTAGAATTCCAGTAAGTGTCAGGGGCTTCCCTAGGTCTAGGTGACTTAACAGTGGACCAGCAGTCAAGAGACCCAAGGTCTAGGCCCGCCTCAAGCACTTATGAAGAACCATGTAAACTTAGGCAAGGAATTTCACTGTTTGAGTCTTACTACTTTCATCTGTAACACTGGGACTAGACTTTTTTTTTTTTGGCTAGGCAATGGGGTTAAATGACTTGCCCAGGGTCACACAGCTAGTAAGTGTCAAGTGTCTGAGGCCAGATTTGAACTCAGCTCCTTCTGACTCCAGGGCCAGTGCTCTATCCACTGTGCCACTTAGCTCCTGCTGGACTAAACTATCCTCCCAGCCTCACAGGGTTGCAAGCATGGATGTCAAGTACTTTGTAGAGGAGCAGCATGGAGCAGTGGTCAGAGAGCTACCTTGGAGTCAGGAGGACCTGGGTTCAAGTCCTGCTCCTGGACCATACTGGTTATGTGGACCTGGTAAGCTTCTTTATTTCTGAGTGCCCTCAGACACTCTCTAAGAAGATGCTGTCTGCCTCGGAAAGTAAGCTCTTCACTGGGAGATCCCTACTCCAAGGAAATGACATACTTGGCAAGAAAAAAAGAGGAGGGAGGTGCTTTGTAACCATAGAATACTACTCTCTGAACCCATTCCCAGGGCAGTGTTAGCTGGCTTACTCTAGCCTTCACTCCATAGAAACTATGGTCCCTTGGAGGCATAGGAAGACTTTGACCTTACCCTTTAGTAAGGCTGCACTCAGAGCTCAGTGGAATGACTACTTCCTAAAATGGTATTTTTCAAGCAACAAAAAGTAATGTTGTGCTTGGGAGTCAGTACCTAGGTACAAATGCCAGGTTTGCTGCTTACTGTCTTTTGCCCTTGAGAAAGGCACTTAACCCCATGGGCCTTAGTTTTCTCATTTGGAAAAAAGAATGTTGTACTAGCTGACTCCTGATATTATTTTCAGCTCCAAATCTATGCTCCTATGTAAATCTCATTTCAGATTTTCAGACTGGACAAAAGACCAAAAGAAGAAGCCAAAATACGTCCTATCCAAAATATTACAAATTTTCATTACACTAGCTTCTAGGTCACAAAACTGGTCAGTTTCCCCAGGTAGTCACTGGGTCACTCTAGCTGGTCTGGGTAATAATAACTAGGCAACTAACTCACTGTTTTGGGGTCCCCAAAGTGATTTCACTCAATTTCAGGAGGAGCTGCCTGAATTACACAGTACCTCTGTACAACAGCATCCATAGGGCTGAGAATGGCCCAGCACCTATTAGGAGTTGAATATGTGCTGTTGATTCAAGGCATCAAAGCATTTATTAAGTGTCTGCTACATCCCTGTTGTGAGGGACTGTCTGATGTTCGCAGCTACCAGGTTGGGCGCTGTGGCAAGGGTAGGGTAAGATCTGGGTATTTTGGAAGTTGAGGCAGGGGCTGTGGTAGGCAGAGTCGTGGTGAACTGGGATGGGCT